GGTCCATCGGACCAACAGGCCAGATGGTCCAACCGGTCCATCGGACCAACAGGCCAGATGGTCCAACCGGTCCATCGGACCAACAGCTAGTTGGACCAACCGGTCCATCGGACCAACAGGCCAGTTGGTCCAACCGGTCCATCGGACCAACAGGCCAGTTGGTCCAACCGGTCCACCGGACCAACAGGCAAGATGGTCCAACCGGTCCATTGGACCAACAGGCCAGTTGGTCCAACCGGTCCATCGGACCACAGCCAGATGGTCCAACCGGTCCATCGGACCAACAGGCCAGTTGGTCCAACCGTCCATCGCACCAACAGGCCAGATGGTCCAACCGGTCCATCGGACCAACAGGCCAGATGGTCCAACCGTTCCATCGGACCAACAGGCCAGTTGGTCCAACCGGTCCATCGGACCAACAGGCCAGATGGTCCAACCGGTCCCCATCGGACCAAAGGCCAGTTGGTCCAAACCGTCCATCGGACCACAGGCCAGTTGGTCCAACCGGTCCATCGGACCAACAGGCCAGTGGTGGTCCAACCGGTCCATCGGACCAACAGGCCAGATGGTCCAACCGGTCCATCGGACCAACAGGCCAGTTGGTCCAACCGGTCCAGTCGGACCAACAGGCCAGATGGTCCAACCGGTCCATCGGACCAACAGGCCAGTTGGTACCAACCGTCCATCGGACCAACAGGCCAGTTGGTCCAACCGGTCCATCGGACCAACAGGCCAGTTGGTCCAACCGGTCCATCGGACCAACAGGCCAGTTGGTCCAACCGGTCCATCGGACCAACAGGCCAGATGGTCCAACCGGTCCATCGGACCAACAGGCCAGTTGGTCCAACCGGTCCATCGGACCAACAGGCCAGATGGTCCAACCGGTCCATCGGACCCAACAGGCCAGATTGGTCCAACCGGTCCATCGACCAACAGGCTAGTTGGTCCAACCGGTCCATCGGACCAACAGGCCAGTTGGTCCAACCGGTCCATCGGACCAACAGGCCAGATGGTCCAACCGGTCCCATCGGACCAACAGGCCAGTTGTCCAACCGGTCCATCGGACCAACAGGCCAGTTGGTCCAACCGGTACATCGGACCAACAGGCCAGTTGGTCCAACCGGTCCATCGGACCAACAGGCCAGATGGTCCAACCGGTCCATCGGACCAACAGGCCAGTTGGTCCAACCGGTCCATCGGACCAACAGGCCAGATGTCCAACCGTCCATCGGACCAAACAGGCCAGATGGTCCAACCGGTCCATCGGACCAACAGGCCAGATGGTCCAACCGGTCCCCGAACATAGTTGGACCAACCGGTCCATCGGACCAACAGGCCAGATGGTCCAACCGTCCATCGGACCAACAGGCCAGATGGTCCCACCGGTCCATCGGACCAACAGGCTAGTTGGACCAACCGGTCCATCGGACCAACAGGCCAGATGGTCCAACCGGTCCATCGGACCAACAGGCTAGTTGGACCAACCGGTCCATCGGACCAACAGGCCAGATGGTCCAACTGGTCCATCGGACCAACAGGCCAGTTGGTCCAACCGATCCATCGGACCAACAGGCTAGTTGGTCCAACCGGTCCATCGGACCAACAGGCCAGTTGGTCCAACCGGTCCATCGGACCAACAAGCCAGATGGTCCAACCGGTCCATCGGACCAACAGGCCAGATGGTCCAACCGGTCCATCGGACCAACAGGCTTGTTGGACCAACCGGTCCATCGGACCAACAGGCCAGTTGGTCCAACCGGTCCATCGGACCAACAGGCCAGTTGGTCCAACCGGTCCATCGGACCAACAGGCCAGATGGTCCAACCGGTCCAATCGGACCAGCAGGCCAGTTGGTCCAACCGGTCCATCGGACCAACAGGCCAGATGGTCCAACCGGTCCATCGGACCAACAGGCCAGTTGGTCCAACCGGTCCATCGGACCAACAGGCCAGATGGTCCAACCGGTCCATCGGACCAACAGGCCAGTTGGTCCAACCGGTCCATCGGACCAACAGGCCAGATGGTCCAACCGGTCCATCGGACCAACAGGCCAGTTGGTCCAACCGGTCCATCGGACCAACAGGCTAGTTGGACCAACCGGTCCATCGGACCAACAGGCCAGTTGGTCCAACCGGTCCATCGGACCAACAGGCCAGTTGGTCCAACCGGTCCATCGGACCAACAGGCCAGATGGTCCAACCGGTCCATCGGACCAACAGGCCAGTTGGTCCAACCGGTCCATCGGACCAACAGGCCAGATGGTCCAACCGGGTCCATCGGACCAACAGGCCAGATGGTCCAACCGGTCCATCGGACCAACAGGCCAGTTGGGTCCAACCGGTCCATCGGACCAACAGGCAGATTGGTCCAACCGGTCCATCGGAACCAACAGGCCAGATGGTCCAACGGTCCATCGGACCAACAGGCCAGATGGTCCAACCGGTCCATCGGACCAACAGGCTAGTTGGACCAACCGGTCCATCGGACCACAGGCCAGATTGTCCAACCGGTCCATCGGACCACAGGCTGAGTTGGTCCAACCGGTCCATCGGACCAACAGTCCAGATGGTCCAACCGGTCCATCGGACCAACAGGCCAGATTGGTCCAACCGGATCCATCGGACCAACAGGCTCAGTTGGTCCAACCGGTCCATCGGACCAACAGGCCAGTTGGTCCAACCGGTCCATCGGACCAACAGGCCAGATGGTCCAACCGGTCCATCGGACCAACAGGCCAGTTGGTCCAACCGGTCCATCGACCAACAGGCCGAGAATGGGTCCAACCGGTCCCATCGGACCAACAGGCAGTTGGTCCAACCGGTCCATCGGACCAACAGGCAGATGGTCCAACCGGTCCATCGACCAACAGGGCCAGATGGTCCAACCGGTCCATCGGACCAACAGGCTAGTTGGTCCACCGGTCCATCGGACCAACAGGCCAGTTGGTCCAACCGGTCCATCGACCAACAGAGCCAGTTGGTCCAACCGGTCCATCGGACCAACAGGCCAGATGGTCCAAACCGGTCCATCGGACCAACAGGCCAGTTGGTCCAACCGGTCCATCGGACCAACAGGCCAGATGGTCCAACCGGTCCATCGGACCAACAGGCCAGTTGGTCCAACCGTCCATCGGACCAACAGGCCAGTTGGTCCCAAACCGGTCCATCGGACCAACAGGCCAGTTGGTCCAACCGGTCCATCGGACCAACAGGCCAGTTGGTCCAACCGGTCCATCGGACCAACAGGCAGATTGGTCCAACCGGTCCATCGGACCAACAGGCCAGTTGGTCCAACCGGTCCATCGGACCAACAGGCCAGATGGTCCAACCGGTCCATCGGACCAACAGGCCAGTTGGTCCAACCGGTCCATCGGACCAACAGGCCAGATGGTCCAACCGGTCCATCGGACCAACAGGCCAGATGGTCCAACCGGGTCCCATCGGACCAACAGGCTAGTTGGACCAACCGGTCCATCGGACCAACAGGCCAGTTGGTCCAACCGGTCCATCGGACCAACAGGCCAGTTGGTCCAACCGGTCCATCGGACCAACAGGCCAGATGGTCCAACCGGTCCATCGGACCAACAGGCCAGTATGGTCCAACCGGTCCATCGGACCCACAGGCCAGTGGTCCAACCGGTCCATCGGACCAACAGGCCAGATGGTCCAACCGGGTCCATCGGACCAACAGGCCAGTTGGACCAACCGGTCCATCGGACCAACAGGCCAGATGGTCCAACCGGTCCATCGGACCAACAGGCCAGTTGTCCAACCGGTCCATCGGACCAACAGGCCAGTTGGTCCAACCGGTCCATCGGACCAACAGGCCAGATGGTCCAACCGGTCCATCGGACCAACAGGCCAGTTGGTCCAACCGGTCCATCGGACCAACAGGCCAGTTGGTCCAACCGGTCCATCGGACCAACAGGCCAGATGGTCCAACCGGTCCATCGGACCAACAGGCCAGTTGGTCCAACCGGTCCATCGGACCAACAGGCCAGATGGTCCAACCGGTCCATCGGACCAACAGGCCAGATGGTCCAACCGGTCCATCGGACCAACAGGCCAGTTGTCCATCGGACCAACAGGCCAGATGGTCCAACCGGTCCATCGGACCAACAGGCCAGATGGTCCAACCGGTCCATCGGACCAACAGGCTAGTTGGACCAACCGGTCCATCGGACCAACAGGCCAGTTGGTCCAACCGGTCCATCGGACCAACAGACCAGTTGGTCCAACCGGTCCATCGGACCAACAGGCCAGATGGTCCAACCGGTCCATCGGACCAACAGGCCAGTTAGTCCAACCGGTCCATCGGACCAACAGGCCAGATGGTCCAACCGGTCCATCGGACCAACAGGCCAGATGGTCCAACGGGTCCATCGGACCAACAGGCTAGTTGGACCAACCGGTCCATCGGACCAACAGGCCAGTTGGTCCAACCGGTCCATCGGACCAACAGGCCAGTTGGTCCAACCGGTCCATCGGACCAACAGGCCAGTTGGTCCAACCGGTCCATCGGACCAACAGGCCAGTTGGTCCAACCGGTCCATCGGACCAACAGGCCAGATGGTCCAACCGATCCATCGGACCAACAGGCCAGTTGGTCCAACCGGTCCATCGGACCAACAGGCCAGTTGGTCCAACCGGTCCATCGGACCAACAGGCCAGTTGGTCCAACCGGTCCATCGGACCAACAGGCCAGTTGGTCCAACCGGTCCATCGGACCAACAGGCCAGATGGTCAAACCGGTCCATCGGACCAACCGGCCAGATGGTCCAACCGGTCCATCGGACCAACAGGCTAGTTGGACCAACCGGTCCATCGGACCAACAGGCCAGTTGGTCCAACCGGTCCATCGGACCAACAGGCCGGATGGTCCAACCGGTCCATCGGACCAACAGGCCAGATGGTCCAACCGGTCCATCGGACCAAAAGGCTAGTTGGACCAACCGGTCCATCGGACCAACAGGCCAGTTGGTCCAACCGGTCCATCGGACCAACAGGCCAGTTGGTCCAACCGGTCCATCGGACCAACAGGCCAGATGGTCCAACCGGTCCATCGGACCAACAGGCCAGTTGGTCCAACCGGTCCATCGGACCAACAGGCCAGTTGGTCCAACCGGTCCATCGGACCAACAGGCCAGTTGGTCCAACCGGTCCATCGGACCAACAGACCAGTTGGTCCAACCGGTCCATCGGACCAACAGGCCTGTTGGTCCAACCGGTCCATCGGACCAACAGGCCAGTTGGTCCAACCGGTCCATCGGACCAACAGGCCAGTTGGTCCAACCGGTCCATCGGACCAACAGGCCAGTTGGTCCAACCGGTCCATCGGACCATCAGGCCAGATGGTCCAACCGGTCCATCGGACCAACAGGCCAGATGGTCCAACCGGTCCATCGGACCAACAGGCTAGTTGGACCAACCGGTCCATCGGACCAACAGGCCAGTTGGTCCAACCGGTCCATCGGACCAACAGGCCAGTTGGTCCAACCGGTCCATCGGACCAACAGGCCAGTTGGTCCAACCGGTCCATCGGACCAACAGGCCAGTTGGTCCAACCGGTCCATCGGACCAACTGGCCAGTTGGTCCAACAGGTCCATCGGACCAACAGGCCAGTTGGTCCAACCGGTCCATCGGACCAACAGGCCAGTTGGTCCAACCGGTCCATCGGACCAACAGGCCAGTTGGTCCAACCGGTCCATCGGACCAACAGGCCAGTTGGTCCAACCGGTCCATCGGACCAACAGGCCAGTTGGTCCAACCGGTCCATCGGACCAACAGGCCAGTTGGTCCAACCGGTCCATCGGACCAACAGGCCAGTTGGTCCAACCGGTCCATCGGACCAACAGGCCAGTTGGTCCAACTGGTCCATCGAACCAACAGGCCAATTGATCCAACCGGTCCATCGGACCAACAGGCTAGTTGATCCAACCAATCCATTGGACCAGTTGGTCCAACTGGTCCATTGGACCAACAGGACAGTTGATCCAACCAATGAATTTGACCAGTTGGTCCAACCGGTCCATTGGACCAACAGGACAATTGGTCCAACTGGTCCACCGGACCAACAGGCCAGTTAGTCCAACCGGTCCATCGGACCAATAGGCCAGTTGTTACAATCGGTCCATTGGAACACCAGGCCAGTTGGTCCTTCATAGGACCAATAGTGCACTTGGTCCAACCGGTCCATAGGACCAACAGGCCCGTTGGTCCAACCGGTCCATCGGACCAACAGACCAGTTGGTCCAACCGGTCCATTGGACCAACAGGCCAATTGATCCAACCGGTCCATTGGACCAACAGGCCAGTTAGTCCAACCGGTCCATTTGACCAGCATGCTAGTTGGTCCAACCGGTCCATTGGACCAACAGGCCCGTTGGTCCAACCGATCCATCGGACCAACAGAATAGTTGTTGGTCCAACCTGTCCATTAGACCAACAGGCCAGTTGGTCCAACCGGTCCATTGAACCAAGAGGCCAGTTGATCCAACCCATCCATTGGACCAACAGGCCAGTTGGTCCAACCGCTCCATTGGACCAACAGGCCAGTTGGTCCAACCGGTCCATTGGACCAACAGGCCAGTTAGTCCAACAGGTCCATTGGACACAACAGGCCAGTTGATCCAACCAATCCATTGGACCAGTTGGTCCAACCGGTCCATTGGACCAACAGGACAGTTGGTCCAACCGGTCCATCGGTCCAACAGGCTAGTTAGTTCAACCGGTCCATCGGAACAATAGGCCTGTTGGAACAACCGGTCCATTGGACAAACAGGCCCGTTGGTCCAACCGGTCCATCGGACCAATAGGCCAGTTGTTACAATCGGTCCATTGGAACACCAGGCCAGTTGGTCCATCATAGGACCAATAGGGCAGTTGGACCAACCGGTCCATTGGACCAACAGGCCCGTTGGTCCAACCGGTCCATCGGGCCAACAGACCGGTTGTAAGTCCAACCGGTCCATTGGACCAACAGGCCAGTTGGTCCAACCGGTCCATTGGACCAACAGGCCAGTTGGTCCAACCGGTCCATTGGACCAACAGGCCAGTTGGTCCAACCGGTCCATTTGACCAACATCCCAGTTGGTCCAACCGGTTCATTGGACCAACAGGCTCGTTGGTCCAACCAATCCATTGGACCAGTTGGTCCAACCGGTCCATTCGACCAACAGGCTAGTTGATCCAACCAATCCATTGGACCAGTTGGTCCAACCGGTCCATTGGAACACCAGGCCAGTTGGTCCATCGTAGGACCAACAGGCCAGTTGGTCCAACAGGTCCATTGGACCAACAGGCCAGTTGGTCCAACCGGTCCATCGGACCAACAGGCCAGTTGGTCCAACCGGTCCATCGGACCAATAGGCCCATTGGTCCAACCGGTCCATCGGACCAACAGGTCAGTTGCTCCAACCGGTCCATCGAACTAATCGGCCTATTGGTCCAAACGGTCCATCGGACCAACAGGCCAGTTGGTCCAACTGGTCAATCGGACCAACAGGCCAGTTGATCCAACCGGTCCATCAAACCAACAGCCCAGGTGATCAAACCAATCCATTGGACCAGTTGGTCCAACTAGTCCATTGGACCAACAGGACAGTTGATCCAACCAATGAATTGGACCAGTTGGTCCAACCGGTCCATTGGACCAACAGGACAGTTGGTCCAACCAGTCCATTGGACCAAGAGGACAGTTGGTCCAACCGGTCCACCGGACCAACAGGCCAATTAGTCCAACCGGTCCATCGGACCAATTGGCCAGTTGGAATAATCGGTCCATTGGAACACCAGGCCAGTTGGTCCATCATAGGACCAATAGGGCAGTTAGTCCAACCGGTCCATCGGACCAATAGGCCAGTTGGTCCTACCGGTCCATTGGACCAACAGGCCCGTTGGTCCAACCGGTCCATCGGACCAACAGACAAGTTGTAGGTCCAACCGGTCCATTGGACCAACAGGCCAGTTGGTCCAACCGGTCCATTGGACCAACAGGCCAATTGATCCAACCGGTCCATTGGACCAACAGGCCAGTTGGTCCAACCGGTCCATTTGACCAGCATGCCAGTTGGTCCAACCAGTACATTGGACCAACAGGCCCGTTTGTCCAACCGATCCATCGGACCAACAGAATAGTTGTTGGTCCAACGTGTCCATTAGACCAACAGGCCAGTTGGTCCAACTGGTCCATTGAACCAAGAGGCCAGTTGATCCAACCCATCCATTGGACCAACAGGCCAGTTGGTCCAACCGGTCCATTGGACCAACAGGCCAGTTGGTCCAACCGGTCCATTGGACCAACAGGCCAGTTGGTCCATCATAGGACCAATAGGGCAGTTAGTCCAACCGGTCCATCGGACCAATAGGCCAGTTGGTCCAACCGGTCCATTGGACCAACAGGCCCGTTGATCCAACCGGTCCATCGGACCAACAGACAAGTTGTAGGTCCAACCGGTCCATTGGACCAACAGGCCAGTTGGTCCAACCGGTCCATTGGACCAACAGGCCAATTGATCCAACCGGTCCATCGGACCACCAGGCCAGTTGGTCCATCATAGGACCAACAGGCCAGTTGATCCAACCAGTCCATTGGACCAGCTGGTCCAACCGGTCCATTGGACCAACAGGCTGGTTGGTCCAACCGGTCCATCGGACCAACAGGCCAACTAGTCCAACTGGTCCATCAGACCAAAAGGCCAGTTAGTCCAACCGATCCATCGGACCAACAGGCCAGTTGGTCCAACCAGTTCATTGGACCACCAGGCCAGTTGGTCCATCATAGGATCAACCGGCCAGTTGGTCCAACCGGTCCATCGGACCAACAGACCAGGTGTAGGTCCAACCAGTTCATCGGACCAACAGGCCAGTTCATCCAACTGGTCCATCGGACCAACTGAACGGTTGTTGGTCCAACCGGTCCATTGCACCAACAGGCCACTTGGTCCAACCGGTCCATCAGACCAACAAGCCAGTTGATCCAACCGGTCCATTGGACCAACAGGCTAGTTGGTCCAACCAGTCCAACCGGTCCATTGGACCAACACGCCAGTTGATCCAACCGGTCCATCAGACCAACAAGTAGTTGGTCCAACTGGTCCATCGGACCAACCGGCCAGTTGGTCCAACCGGTCCATTAGACCAGCAGGCTAGTTAGTCCAACCGGTCCATATTACCAGCAGGCCAGTTGGGTTAACCGGTCCATTGGACCAACA